AACTCTCCCAGATAAAGTATCTTGTTATGTACCAGTGCTATGTATGATGAATTGGGTGGGTGCACAATATCAAGAAAAGCTATTATTGATTTACATGAGTCACCCCACACTTGCCTTTTCATAATTAAACCAAGAAAATATTATTGGAGAAGATTGCCAGGTGTTTAGACCTCTAAGTATCCATTGACTAAAGGAGAGGAATAGGCAGATAAGTGAAGAAATATGGGCAAACGGGAACATTAATTTCCCTTAGGTAACATTAGTAAGCTAAGCATGAATTTGAGGATTAGCTGTATTCATATATGACATAAGACTGTGAGAGGAGTGGTCCTGTAATTTCAAGATACTCTGGTTAACAGAGTCACACTTGCTTTTTGCCTTCATGTTTTCAGTGTTCTAGTTTCTTCTGCTTTTTGTCACATCTATATGGAAAATGATCATTTCCTAAATATTTCCCATATATTAGTCATAATTTGTGTTGTAGATATGGTGATCTGCTAATCCCAAAGGGTGCAGACATAAATGTGGGGACAAGATTGCCCAGCGTGGAGCTAAGAAAAAGATCTAGATGTCTAGACTCCTAGATGCTCATTATACTGAGGGGAGGAAGTGCTATTATTTTGGAAAGTAATTCTAGAATTCTGTAAGTCTGAATGCAAGCGCTCAGCTTTGCTTATATCCTGAGTGAAAATAAAATATTTCCTCTGCCCTTGAATTTGTTTCCTGGTTTAGGCTTAGTTATCCAGTTTAGTGAAAGTTGATAGTACCTTCCTTAGGGTTGATCTTGATTGAAATGAACCTGTTTATACATTGCTAGGCCCAAGTATCTCTTGGTAGTATCTATGGCTTCCCAGAAGCCCTGTGATCTATACAGCTGGCCTCCAAGTGAAGGGAGGACTATAGCCCTGGACATACTTCTTGCAGAGATGGGAATTATTAGAGCCAGTGAAGTCAGGGTTATGTGCTAAGTTTGTTTGCCAACAGCCTGAGCTAAGGGTTACTGCTCTTTTAACAGAGAGGATCTCCCATCTGGCACTGGGGAGGGCCTGAAAACCAGGAGGCTCTTAGAATGGTAACGGAGGACAAGACTCATTATAGTTATAACATACTTTCCATCTTCTCCTCCATCCTTTTATTACTAGATGGAGGGGAGGAACCAGGGATGTAAATCCATGTGCTTCTTAGTCTGGACACAGCCCCTTTGGGGGACAAGGTCATTTTCCTGTTCCAGAATTGCTGCCATTTGTCCAAATACAGTTGTTAACTGAGCACCCCCTGAGCACTGGGCATCTGCCCTAAGGGCTCTAGAGTGTGATACCCAGGCTGCCTGGCTCTGGCTCTACAGCTACAAGTGTTCCAGGTGCAGATACCCACAGCAGACATCATGTCTGGTACCAAACCTGTGTAGTTCCTACCACAAGCCTCTTCCCCTGATGGGCAGCAGAGACAGAAATTTGATAAGGAAGGAAGGTAAAAGGTATCTACTCGGCTCTCATCTTTGCCTTCTCATACCCTGTACTCCAAGCAGAGACGAGCTTGGATGCGACTCTTTCTTGTGTGTGTGTCAGTGTGTGCATGCATGTGCATGTGTGTCTGTATGTGTGTACATATGTTTATGTATATGGGATATGTATATACATATAATAAAGTGATTCTCATTGTTCTCCTTCCTCCCTCCTATCAGGAAGGAATATACTAGGGACTGTTCTAATCATGTTGTATAATTAGAAACTCTGGGTCAAGCAATTTCTTTCCTTCCAAGTGTGCTGACCTGCAAACTCATGGAACTCTTGTCTTAGCTTTATTTTGTAAATGTATCTATTTGCTAGTTTGATGTGTGAGTAAAATTCTTACCATCAATCTTACTATTTTTCATTAAATCTGTTAATTATTTGCAAAATTTTGAGGGTTATATAGGCATTTTTGGATACGATAAAAACTTAACAAGCTTTGTTTTCATATTCAGAATCCCACATTTTTTTTTATCATTTTCTCTCCTCCCAGACAACTGTTTTTCCATGTGCTATTGCCCAATCCATGGAATAGCCAGTGGCCACTTTGGCAATGAGTGAATAATGGCAGCCAGAAGGTCTACAAGTCTGGAACCCCTCCCATTCCCCTGGCAGGGGCAAGGGTGACCCATAATGGACACCAGCTGTCAAAACCTCAGCTAGCCTGGCTCTGCTGATTGATGTTGGTCTCTTGTTCTTGTCAGGAAGGGATTGTATCCTATCCACCATAACCCACATGGCCTGGTCCACAAAGCATAGCAATTGCTGTTTAGATAGTGCCATGCACAGGCATAATTGGAGTTGAGGGAGCAGTTCAACGTCAATAAAGGAAGATTCTCTTTGTCCAGAGCACTGGATACCCCTAGGAATATGAGACAGCAGCTCTGAGATGCCCATGTGCCTTGGAACTTCACCTCTACCCTGGGCCACTGGGCTGTGAGTGGTAGGCAGTGGTCAGACTATTTGCCCTGATTATTGTATTACTAGGTGGTAATACACTCTTATTAAGAAATAGCTGAGTCCAAGGTCTCTTTGTATGTGGTTGTTTCCTGAGCTTATCCATCTAAGATGCTATGTGAATCTGGGCTATTTGGAAATGAGTGAATACCTCTAGATACAGACAGAGGAGAGGGGCTGATGGGAGAATGGGGAGTGGAAGTCGAGGGAGGGGTGGGTGCAAGGTCATATCAGGAAGAGGGCTGGACTGAAAGATGTATGCGATCTTGGGCCTTGAATTCCTGCATACCTCTTGTCAGGTATTGCCCTGTCTTTGGATGAGAACATCACTAGATGAGAACTTCCACAATGAAAACATACAAGCTTCCCATATCATGCACAGCCAATTTGAATTTTCAAGGCCACGTTTTATCAATTGTTTAGTTTTTCAAAATTGATGTGAAAAATGACATGCTAATGACAATTCCTTTGGTCCGACAGATAAAAGCAAAGAGCGCAGCCGAGCTCCGTGCCCTCCTGCCCTGATGCTGCATTCGGAAAGGAAGAGCCAGGCTGGAGACAAAGAAGATAAGGTTGGTTATGGGACTTGCCTAGATTTTAGAGACACGAAACCCCAGGTCTGGAGAATCAGGGGCCAGGACACCCTCACATCTGTTTCCTACATGGCATTTATGGAACGGCTTTTCCACTGTGCTGTATGAGACAGACAGATCCTGCACAGCAATTCCAGAACACTGATGAAAAGGAGGGGGTCTAGATAAGCATCAGAGAGCACTTTGAAAAGCAGACCTGGCTCATCCTTTCCAGATTCAATGACTGGTGGACTCTCCATTAAGAATGAACTTGGCTTCCTATTTACATTTTGTTCTTTTTCAGAACAATGAGAGGACACACAAGGCAGTCAGGATTTGCAGATGGGCTCCACTTAGGCATGGGCACAGTTTATATTTGGATTTTACTGTTAAAGAAAAACCCAGCATACATTCATTAATTCTTAAAGCATTCTAATTTTAGGCCTTTCTCTGCCTATTTGCCAAATGATATTTTAAAGACTGACCAGGACAGTATATTCACGTATTTAATGTTTTCAATAGCACAGCCCTTCCTCTGAAAGACCCAAGGGATTCCCTTATATTGCTACATTAGTTTGGCTTCATCTGTCAAATACAGGGGAGGCTCTGGTTTGACTCAATATTTTATTAAACATTCTCTCTTACTTTACTTCTATCATGTATTACTCTGTTTCAAGGACCCCTGTGAGTTTTCTGTTCTCCTTTTTTTGTTTGTTTTTAGTTTTTGCTATATGGTGCTTGCATTTCCCAAAGAGAGGGAGAGAGAGAGAGAGAGAGAGAGAGAATGAGAGAGAGAGAGAGAGGAAATGAGAAATCACTTTGATGGGGGATGGCCACACTGAAATTCCTTCTCCATTCTGCTCTTGGGATTTTGGGGACACACACGCACGACTGGCATGTTTTTAAAGCTGCAGAGTCCAAGGCTTGAACTGCAGTCAGTCATGTGGGATTTAGACACACTAACCATAATGCCACCTGCTGACCCTCTCCTTGGGTTTTGTATCTGCTCCCCATTTAGTATTACTGGAGAGCATAATCACCATATGGTTCACTGCTTCATCCTTATCATCAGTGCCAATGGCAAATGGTGAAATTTGATTACAAATGTTAGTGCAAATTAAACTCTGGCCCCCTGATGTATGATTTTTTTTGTAGGAGATTAACATCTAAGCCAGTATTACATATTCATTACACAGATAGCCTTCCTAGTGCCTTAAATAAATACTTTCTTTATCACTGAGTTCTGCTAGTCTAATTCACTTTTACTGCTTTAGTGTGGAACAGGAGTTTTATACCATGATTAGCCATTTTTATCACCAATAGGAAATCATAACCAGCGTGCATCTCATGAAGACGACCTCAGTAATTAGTGGCACAGAATCCTAGCATTGCCAAATTTAAATGTTAGTCCCAATCACAAACTATATTCTACCATATTTACTTGAATAATTAGCTGTGGTAATCTACTACTTAGAGACTCCTTGTTGAGTTCCTGTTGTTCAATTAACTTCATAATGAAAATTCCCTCTAGTTTTTCTAATTGGATTAGTAATATAAACTCTGGTCTTAATATATATTTTTGAGCTAAGTGTTTCTGAATACTCCCTGTTATGCTAATTATTTATCCTGACCTTGTTTTCTCACAGGAAACAAAGATATTTTCTACTACCAGAAAATTCCAAAAAAAGCCCATCATTCTGAAAGTTATAAATTTAAGGATAACTGTACAAATTATAAATCATTTATTTAATGCAATTATCTGTCAAAATAAACAGGAATACCCAGTAAAATACTAGAATGAACATGTATGGTCCCTTTTTTTCTGTCTTTACTTATGTAATGCTCAAGTAAATTCCCTTCCCAGATTTACCCTCATGCCAGAGACCTTGCAGAAAATGTCCAGCTATTTCCATATCAAGACTTATCCTTTCCTCTTGGCAGGGGTCTCCTAATATTGGCCACTCATTCTTGATACCATTCTTTCTTGATAATACTGAAAAACAGAAGAAGCTTCACTCTATTATCAATGGTCTTACCAAAGGGCCACATGTGATAGATTTACTTGAGATGTAATTCACCCTTCGCTCTTATAGATAGTTGGGGTTCTTTTAACTCTTTGCTCAAATTTTATGCTCCTATCCTTCCATAATTTAGCACTTTCCTTTCTAACTACTCTGTTTGAAAGGTGGCTAGACTATGAATATGAATCTTGGCCAAAGCGTAACCCTCAGACAAGCATGCTGGGCTTTGGTACGATTGTTGCCTTATTTGATTAGCCAACTTTGCATGGAGGAGCTATCCTGGTAGAGTTTGGGAGACCCAATTTCATTTAGTTTTTGGTCAGTCAAATTTCAGGAAGATATTAGATTTATTTTTAATGAATCTAAAGTTTGAATTGCGCCTGATATTCTCAGCTTAGAATGTTGCTCAGGTTGTTGCTTTGGCCAATACTCTGATAGCTTTTAAAGAATTTTTTTTCTTTCTTTCTTCATGATACAGCATGTGTGCTGTATGCATGAGAGAAAGAGAGAGCGAGGGACCAGCAGTTAGCATAATGGCTATGTTGGTGGACTCCCACGTAGTCAACCGCGGTTCGAGTCCCGGACTCGGTGGCTTAAACTCACGCCGGGGGCATGTGCATGCGTGCCCAAGATCCCGAGAGGAGAATGGAGGAGAAGGGATTGTGGTGTGGCCACCCCCGCTGGGGGGTGATTTCTCGCTTTCTATCTCTCTGTCTCTCTTTGTCTTTCTGGTGAGTGCACGCACCCTATAGTAAAAACCTCTAAAAAAAAAAAATAAATAAAAAGCAAAAAAAAAAGAAAAAAAAAAAAAAAAAAGAGAGAGAGAAGTAGAGAGAGAAATATGAGGCCCCTCTACTGGGTCTAGTTACACCGTGAGTCTCTTCCTCTACTCCTCTAGCCAGCTAGATCAGGCATTCATGCCAGGTGTGCTTCAGACATTCATACCATGGCAAACATGGGTATTTATACTGTGGTTCCCATGTGGGATTCAGCCTCTCTTGAGCAGCACATTACCAGTGATCCATGGAGCTGGCCTTTCACTGATATCTTTTAATCGCACTTGATTTTCCAAAAAAGAAAAAGAACATAATCTTTATCATAGAATTCAAGTTTGATATTAAACCATGGAAACATCTGGGAGAAAAAAATTTCTTCACTTCTAGAATTTATGATAGTCTCTGTGAATTCATTGTTTTCCCTTCTAGTTGTTCCAAAACTGTGATACATTTTAATTGTTTAAAATTTCTCATTGTGTTTTGCAGTTCCACTGGTAGAAATTCAGCAGTGTTGGCCTACCATTAAACAAATATCCAGCATCTACCATATATCCATGTAGCTAAATAAGTTCATCTGAATCTTGGGTTTATATTTATGTTGGTGTTACGATTATTCATGTTTTCAAATCTGAATTTTCATTCTTCTCCAAATTTTATCTCATACTAACACTGAACATGTGACCCAGCCATGGTTTCATTTTTTTTTTAACTTTAGAGAATACATATTTATTTTCTTCTAGGTGATAGCAATGTTCAAACGTTCCTTATTTTCCAAGTGGAGACACCGAGTTAGAGTGATGCTGTTCTACTCCAACTGGGCATCAGAATCACCTGCACAATGTAGAACAGCCCTCTTGATCCCTGCTCCAGCCAGATGGTCTGGAAAGGTGGGAGCCACCTGAAAGCAGCAGTGCTGAAAGGGCTAAGCCATTATTTAAGAATATGGGCTAGTTATTTCTTCTCACCTTAATGATATCTAGATGTGCCAACCTCAGCTGCATCTAGAACCCCTCATGGCTTCAAGGTTCTTTGTCACTAAATAGCTTTTTAGGGAACCAGCAGTTAGTGTAATGGCTATGTCGCTGGACTCCCACGTAGTCGACCGCGGTTCGTGTTCCGGACCTGATGGCTTAAAACTCATGCTGGGCGCGTGTGCGTGCGTGCCCAAGATCCCAAGAGGAGAACGGAGGAGAAGGGATTGCGGCGTGACCATCACCCCTGGGGGGTGATTTCTCGCTTTCTGTCTCTATGTCTCTCTCTGTCTGTCTGGCGAGCGCACGCACCCTATAGCGAAAACCTCTCAAAAAAAAAAAAAAACATTAAAAACTAAATAGCTTTTTAGTGGCACAGTGACTCTAGCTGCTGGGATGGTCTCATTTCCAAAGATAAACCCAGTGCATTTTCTGCCCCAAAGACATTAGGCCTCTAAAGCATTCATTCTCTCTCATTTTTTTTTTAAATTATTATTATTTTTTTCCATGAGAGAGGGATACCAAGAGAAAGAGAGAGGCACTTCCAACAAGGTTCTCATGCCCTCTCTCAGCATCAGCCAGCCAGGATCACAGGTATGGGAACACTTACCCATGCCTGGCATGCATAGGGAGACTTTGGATGTGAACCTAGAACCTGTGCTTATGGCCTCAGGATCATAAAATATTGTATTACTGTTGTAGCCAAAAAGTATACATTCTCTTGGCTGCTACTGTCTGTCTCTGTTTCTGGAAAACCAGGCAGCTTAGACAATTTAGGATAACTAGGGGTATGCTTTGTCTTCTTTATTCAACGAGTCTGTTATGCCATTAATTCTATATTCTCAACATAATTGCCCAGCCCGATTGCTTTGTTGTACTGAGAGGATCATTATCTACTGTCTACTGTAAGCAGGTCTGCCTGCAGGAGACTTTTGTTATTCTTTACTTGGTTGCCTATAACTGAAGATGAATGTTTAAAATTAAAAACAGCTTTCTCCCTTTCAAAAGGAGCCTCCATCACTACTAGTGAGAGGAGAAGAGAACACAGAAAAAGGCAATAGACCCGTGGCTTCTACTCCGGTCCCTGGATCCCCCTGGTAAGATAATTAGAAACCTGAGAGCAATGAGAAATAGTGCTGTCTTGTCCCAGAATTTGCTTGACATCACTGAAGAGAAAATGCATGCTCCTTAGGAAATACTATGTTTTCAAAAACGAATCTGCAACTCACTGCAGATATATTTCTGCACTGTTGTCACATTATGCAGAAAGAAAAATAGCACTTAAGTGATATGTTATCCTATTCTGATCTATTTGTGAATATGTATTAAAATAATAATACTGTTGCATACATATCAGTGAAAGACATGTCTGAAGTAAATCTGGCATGCCTTAAGCTCAAAGGATTTTTTCCCCTTCACTCCAAGAAGAAGCGTAACTGAATGACTGTTAATTAAAGACATGTCTAGCTCTCTCCAGTTGCCCTGTGAGGATTTTAGATCTTTGAGTATGCCATACTCAAAAATACCCTCCACAAGGGAGCCACAGTCTTTGGTTTTTAAAAAATGCCCTTTTATAATGGAGTCATTTGGAAGTAGAATAAAAAGGTTATTATTGTAAAAATTAGTTTTAAAACCTGAAGATTAGAGTGCAATATACAGCTGGGAGGAACAACTAATTTAAAGGACAGAAATAGCAACTGCTTGCATCAGTTTAATGTGCCATCCAGGTTCAGGGAAGCAGCCTGCTAATGCTCTCAAGGCCCTGCATCAACCTTGCATATTAAGTGAGAGCATCCCTAGTGACAAGAGAACCTGTTGTGCTCTATGGCAGTGTCCTGATCACTTATTATGGTAAACCACACTCTTATCTAGAGTGGACCAGCACCTGATCCTCTACCAGTTCAATAGTCAGTGCTTGCTGGCACCTGGTAGCCTCTGGCCCTCCGCCTTCAGCTGAAACTACCATACAGCTGGGAGTACATCTGGGTGAGTTTTTCCTAGACTCATACACTTTTTCCTCAACAACAACCGATTCTCCAACACTTACTGAGTGTCCTGTAATTTAGTTTAGTTATGATATTAACTGCCCAGTTAGCTCAGACATCACAGGCTAAATGGCTCAGTCCCAAGACTGCCCCCAGTTCAGATGCTAGCCTCATATGGGATCCCCTTCACTCCTGTCCAGCTACCTACAAATTCTAGGATTCTTGTGACCTCCCCTCAGCTTTGATAATTCAATAGGACGGCTCATAGAACTTAAGAAAATATTTTGCTTTACTTATGATTACATGTTACTTTTTAGAAAGAATAAAACTTGGGAACAGATAAATGGAATAGATGTATATGGCAAGATATGTGCCAAGGGGTGCAGAGCTTCCATGCCCTATCCAGGCACACTGCCCTCCAAGGACCTTGAGATGTTCACCAAATTGAGGTTCCTATAACTTCATTTTTTTCCGTTTTAATGGTGGTTTCATTACATAGGCATGATTTATTAAATAATTATTCATGTGATTGAACTCTATCTTCAGCCCCTTACCACGTCCCAGAAGAGGTCGGGGGTGGGACTGAAAGTTACAACTCTCTAATCCCATAGTTGGTTTCCAGAGAGACCATCCTGAAGTTATATAGGGAGTTATTAGCAGAAACTCAGATATGACCAAAAGGAGTATTAGAAATAACAAAAGACAGTCCTCATCACCCTTATCACTCATGTAATTTCAAGAGTTTTAGGAGCTATGTAACAGAAACCTGAGACAAAGACTATGTAGTCTATTTGTATATCTATATCTACATATATTTTACTATTATTATACCACAAGCACTATTTGGAATTTCTTACAACCTAACTCTCTCAAATGTGTTTCTAGGGCAAGAACAGTGCACCAAATTATATTGGGGTGGGGGGATTGGTATAAATTCAGTAATGCTCTGTGGGCCTGCCATTGTACTTCTATGCTGATGCCCTGAGGGAGATTATAACTGTGTAAAAGACATGACCTTGAACACTAGAACCTTCTAAATGTGAAAGCTACATACTTTATTCCCCTTAAGAATATGTTACAATGCAAAATGCTGAATAGGATCTGGGAAATCAACACTGTTCCACAGCTATAGCTCTCCCTTCCTGTCCTTTTCCTATAAATTGCTTATCAGTATATAAGTCCTCTTACCCAAAATGAGTGGCTCATTTATTATCACATGATCATGTCATGAGAGAACTCCATCCCTGAGGTCACAGATGTTCAGGAGCTCAGGAGGAGAATGAGGGAGCTTTGACAGATTGGGATAGAAGACTCCACGCTAGGAAAAGGACTGTGAGCAGATTGTAGTTTTCTGAGGGTGGAGGGACCAAGCATGGGATACTTTCAGGTGAAGAAATGAACAAAGGTGTAGTGTGAATGACCAGGAGGATGACTAGGGTTAGCAGGAATATTTGGGAACAAGGACTTATAATTGAGGTGGGATTCATGAGAGACTTGGAGGAGAAAGAAAGATCAATCAAACCCCCACTGGTCTTTATGTAGTGGGGTTCTGGAGCCTAGCCATCTTCTCTCTGACTCCAAACATAATGAGAAAAGAGAATCCTGCAGAAAGGCCCAGGTGGGCAGTGGCATTAGTTATTCTATTATAGGAGAAAAGCTAAATGCCTGCAAGTTGATGGAAGAGTGCCATTTGTGTAGTGCCCTATCTAAATCAGAGCTAGGTACACTTGCTGGAACCTGTGCAATATTATAGAGGTCATGGAGATGCTGCTGATGCTTCCCATGCATTCCTCATCTTGTGACTTTCTAGTCTTGGTCCTGCTTGAATGAGTATTCCTTGCCTTGGTTGCATGGCTGTCTCCTAAGGAATTAAATGTTGGAAGATCCATCACTAGAACTTAGAAGTTGAGTCTGCACTTCCCCTGTGAAGTAGAGGGATCCTTGACATTGCAGTGAAGAGGCAACTGTCAGTCCTGGCTTCTGCTTTTACAAACTGCAGTTGAGAAGGAACTTGGAGTACGTTGTGTTAAGACATCCTCATTAATCTTGGCATCGCACATATGGAAACTTTAGGAACAACACACTTCCATGACACCTTAGTCTGCCACTAGGAAAATAACTCTTCTGCTATGGAGAACTGTGACTGTTTCACTCAATTAACTCCAATCATCTGCTATGATTTCCATTCGGAAGGATTTTCTGGTGGTCAGCCTTTACTCAGTCAATCCGATTCTTGAGGGGCAGGAAGGACAAAGATACTCACTTGTGGAACTGGGGTCCAGGAATGCAGTTCCACCATATATCCTTCTCTCCAACCACCTGTTTGAAACTTCCACATCTTGGTAAGGGCACCCTTTCCAAGATAGAAAATGTTACAGGTAATGTGGCTATCTTGAACTTTCTAATAAGCAACTTCATTGGACAAGTAATACCACAAAAGATCTCAACAGAACTTTGAGGAAGTCTCAGAGATGGCTTCATAAAAAGTGCAAGTGACCCTCACTGCCAAAATTGAGTGACTCATTGGCCCTCATCTCAGTAGCAGAATGTTTAAACAAAGAGGCCAAACCTGCAGTGGCTCTATTAGGCTCTCACACATGGCTGGAAGTGTGTGACTAAATTTGCCTGTTTGCCCTGAATTGGCAAACACAAGCACTCTCTTTCAGGGATACACTGCCCTTCATTCCTATGAGGCCCTAAACTTCAGGTGAGAACATGTCTTGCAGAAGGTCATCATGGCTGATGGTAGAGCAGGGAAAGGTCCTGTTCTTGGGTTTCAGAACAAGATGTTCCATATAGACCTGGGTGAAAGAATTGCAGGAAGTGACTGAGCCTCTAGGAGTCAAGCTCATGGACACCTGGTACATCTTGCAGGTGCTATTAGCTGAATCAATGACAGGAAGAGCAAGCACAATTGCTGATGAAGCTTGGCTGGTTATGGGGTGATTCTCTCCTTCTCATGGCAGGAGTGAGGGCCAAGGTTGGCAGCTCAGGCCACATCCTAGCAATAGACACCTCAGAATTCTCCTGCAAACACCTGGGTTCCAGAGAATTCAGTGTAAGTGGGGGCCAAGCAGGCTGGGCTAACAGACTTAGAAAGGATTCTTCCTAATCATCACAGAACTGTCTGGGGGCAGCTAGAACCACAACAATAATGTAGAAAATGTGGGACTCTACTCAAAACATGTACTATGAAAATCAAATAGTTCTTACTCTTGGTTAACTTTTTCATATGGGTACATTTTAATAAAATAAAAACTGAGAAATGGAATGTTTGAGAGAACAGCAGCATAAATAAGACCCCAAATCTCATATATATAACTTGAGGGAAAAAAATCTTATTTTTAAAGGTAAAAAACATCGGATATTTTTCTGATTTGCATTTACTTCTTAGAAAATGTCCTAGAAAATGATTAGGTTGTGGAAATTGTTTTAAAAGTGATGAAAGAAGAAGGGTGTTGTTCCTCCCTGTTCTCTGCAGGAGCTGCTCCATGCTAGGATGCCAAATGAATCCATAGAAATGCCAAAAGCAAAAGGATAGCATTCTTCATTATCCTTAACAATACATAGCAGAGTCCCTTTGCTATTCTAATTACCAAGAGATACAGATGAATAGTGATTTAATGTATGAATAATAATAAAAATGAATTAATTAATTTTAAAAATCTCTAAAAAAACCCAGAAAGTATTGATGTAATACTAAATACTTGAGAAAAACAGGGTCAATGCCCTGACAGTGAATAAAAATGGAGAAAGAGCCATCTACTTGTTACTGTCTCACTGACTGCACCAGTTTAACAATTAAAAATTATTTCAGAATCCAGAACTTCTTTAGCGAACTCTGCTAGTCAGAAACTCATGTAGATTAGTACTGTCAGACAGTTCCAATGATAGCATAATCTGAGTCATGACACTTTAAAAAAAAAAAATGAAGACTGTATATCAACTTTCATACAAAGTAATATCCCACCCATTTCTAAATGAGATTGAGTCCATGTCATAGCAATAGCTATAATGAAATTTTAATTATTTTTAAACGTCTCTTCTAAATTTTAGGTATATTATTAATACTAGGATAGCATTGTTTAGTCCCTTAAGAAATTTGTAGAAAT